CTACCTGACCCTCAGCTATATAAAATGACCTATGTAAAATGAGGTCTTACATTAGTCCTTCTTTCAACACCTCTGCAATCTTGATACTTATATTATCATTTTCAGTTTTGTTGGTTGTAATGTAGAAGTAGCTACTTAAATTTCTGTTTTTTGTCCAAAAAATGTTATCTAATAAAGTTGGATAAAACTACGTTTTGTCCAATACAGTTTTTCGGCACCCCTCTATGTGGCATGATGCCCCTACCCAGCTTTCTTCTTTGGCCCCCTTCTTTCCTCTCCCACCTTTGTCAGCTAGCTGTACCTTTACTTTTACTTGATCAAGGTGGTATAGTTTTAATTATATGCACTAATATACATTTGCTTTTATATTTAAGTCAGGTTGAGTTTTCTATCCCTTATGACTGAAACCCTCCTAACTCCACTGAGGATCTCCTACATGCTGACCTTCTGGCTTGGAAGAGGGATGTTACCATCTACTTTGTGTAAACCATTCTATTTTAAAGGGATATTTTTAACCTACAACTTCTAGTTAATTCAAATGTATCTTATGAAACAAAAAATGTTGGATAAGATGAAGTTCTGCAACAGTGCTAAGACAATATGTCACTCAGGAGATGACTTTTAAAAATAACCTTAACTTTGAAAAGTAAATGTTGGGCCAAGTACGGTGGCCCACACCTGTAGTCCCAGCACGTTGGGAGACCAAGGCGGGAGGATTGAGGCCAGAAGTTCGAGACCAGCCTGGACAACATAGCAAGGCTCCCATCTCTACAAATTAAATTAAAATTAGCAGGACATGGTGGAGTGCATCTGTAGTCCCAGCTACTAGGGAGGTTGAGGCAGGAGAATTGCTTGAGCCCAGGAGTGTGAGGTTGCAGTGAGCTATGATCATTCCACTGCTCTCTAGCCTGGGCAACACAACAAGATCCTGTCACAAAAAAAAAAAAAAAAGAAAGAAAAAGAAAAAAATAAATAAATGTAATAAAATTTCCCAGTCAAGTACATCTATTTTTCTTCTTGCCTCTCTGGAAAAGGTTTAGAGAGATTATAGCTGGTGAATTAGAATCCTATTTCTCTGTGAAGGAAATATCAGCAATATCCTTCATATTGTTCTCACCACACATTCTGGTTATGTTTAACTCTTCATAGTCGAGTTTATGTGAGGCTCAGAATACGTTATTCATATATATTTCATCTCATTTCAGAAAGTGTTTTACAGAGCTTAAATAAAATGCATACGTACAAATATATAAGCTAATAAGGTATAGATGAAGAGTAATAAACCATGGCAAGGTAAACGTTGTGTTTATTACAAAATTAGAGTGGATCTAGTATTTGATAGCACAATAGGGTGACTACAGTTAACAAAAATTTACTGTACATTTTAAAAGAACTTAAAGAGTATAGTTGGATTGTAACACAAAAGGAAGGATAGATGCTTGAGGTGATAGATACTCCATTTACTCTGATGTGATTATTATACATATATGCCTGCATCAAAATATCTCATGTACCTCACAAATACATACACTTACTATGTACCTACAAAAATTTAAAATTTACAAAACAAAAAAAAAATTACAGCGAAGCAGGCCATACCTTGCTAAATTAAGCTGTAAATTTAGTTCCAAGCTTCCTGGTAGTCGAAATAAGAAGGAGAAGCTGCAAAGATCTCATTTCGGAAAAAATAAAATTTTTCCTAACACTTAACTCTGAAAGAAATTTTCCTGAGGGACTGTGACCCAAGATAAAATGGAGAAGGGAGTCTAGTGTGCCCCTCACCAACGTTTTCTGAAATTTTCTCTCTGTTACTCCATATGCACATAAAAGTTTCCTGCCGTAGATACATCACACAATAAGGAAACTACATGGTTGAGTTCAAGAAATCAACAAAATACAAGTTTTGTAAAAGGAGCGTTAAAGGGATCTGATGTGATTCACAAAGGCATTTTTCTCTCATCCCTGTAAGAAATAGGAAGAAAAATAGAACTAATCATTTTTCTATTCTCTCGATATAGATAATATTTCATTATTCCTAATAAAATCATTTTTAGATTAATGAATTAGACTCGGTTATTTGTTGAGAAGTCACGTGGAACTCTGATTTGTCCAAGACAAGAAATTCAGAAGCATCTCAACTATCAAAATCGAGAAGATATAAATCCAGTTATTTGTTATATTCACTGATGAAGCAATCTTAAGATGATAGCAAATTAAATGCAAAGATACAGAGAAAATAATATTGTGATTAGTCATATTACCACAGATCATGTGAGGCAACTTATAAAAGATGTCTATGTATTTTCTAAAAATTATCTTTACAAATGTCTGTCTATGTATTTTTTAAAAACAATCTTTATAAATGCTAAAACTAACCCCAAAGTCAGTTTCTCTAATAAACATTTTCAAATGTGCTAAAACTGATAGCTCTCTAAAATAGCTTCCGCTCTTGTGTTCCATTTTGGACAACTGATGAGAAAATCGCTGATGAAAAATTGAAAATATCACTTAGTGAATGAAACATCACCACAGTGAAATCACAAATATTACCCAGACAATCACTGAAATATTCATTTCTATGTAATAAATGGGTTTGGACTTGTCGATTATCAGGAAATCACCACTCACTGGTTTTGACTTAAATATACTTAATAAATCATGCATATTGAATTCATATTGATAAATTCTTCCACAATTTTCACTCAGAAAATGAAATATGTACAGTTAATTAACTGAAAATTAACAACTGCTGGTTCAACTAAATTCAGCAAATTTTACATTCTAGTGTTACCACGTGTACATTTGTTGGAGTAATAATTAAACTTCTGTACTAGACTGCATATTTTGGGAAAAAGTAAACAAATTATATTATGACACACAAAATCTAAAAATACACATTTATTTTCCTCTTTGACAATTAAGTACAAAAGTGATAAGTGAATCTTTAATAAATGCCTCCAAAATTTTAAATTCAGTACTTGATTTATGGGTATAACTTTGACCCAGCCATTTACAACTTCCATCTAAGACTGTATTAGCAGACATAGGATATGTTAACTTATTTTAGGCGTATACATTGAAACTTGCTTAAGTTTTTAAACATTATGAACAGAGTATTAAATTGGACATTATGATCCATCTTGTTTTTGAGGAATATACTGAGAGGAATACACTAAGAGTGAATAAAATTTCTCGAACCTTTTCCATCTAGAATTCTTTCCTCAGTATTCTCTTCTAACATCCTCTCCATTAAAAAAGTGAAAGAAAGAAACCCTGAAAGTACTGCTTTGATCTAGAATGAGCAGGCAGGAGTTTCATTCAAATCTGTTTTGAAAGAAAACTGATGGGCTCAAAAATATATTTCAGATTGAAAAAATGTGCAGTCGAGGAAATATTAATGTTCTGATAATAAACAGAGAATAATAACACATTTAAGACAGTTCTGCACTTGGCACAGTATTTTACAAAAAGCAAAGTGCTTGACAAACACTATCTTGGTTGGATCTCACAGCACCCCAAGGAGGCAGGTAGAGCCAGGCATATTGTTCTCTTATAACAGAGTTAGTCATTAAGAGATTGGCTCAAGGTCAATCCAGAACCTGGACCTGTTGATAAAACTTCATTTCAGGGGCCATGTTATCCCCCGAATTTAATGTGGTAAGGTGTGGTGAGTTTCAATCACGAAAGCAAGGAGGTAATATAGCCATATTTTTCTTGTTTCAGATCTCTTCTTTCCATTCATTGTCCAGAACATCCTTTAAAAAATGTATTTTGTCATCAAAATAATTTATAAAGAAGGAGCATGCCACATGTGTACAAAATTTTTTAAATGCACAGTTTATTACCCAAAGAAATAAACTGACATAACTATTTGAAGTACAAATAAGTGTAATTTTATTTTGAAATACGCAAATACGTGTTGCCAAATACTGTTTTCGTCATGGTGTAATCCACTTTCAGTAAACAACTCAATGAAGTTTATAAACTTCCTATGAACAATAACAAATGAGTCATCCTATTCAAATCAAATAAACAAACAACTAGTGTGTCTATTATTTGTAAGGTCCTGTGATCAAAAGGTACAGTCGTTTATAGCCACTGCTTTACTCAAGTCCTTTCTTGATTGATACATGGGTGGCAGATGGATAGAGATATCCCACATATCTATCATCTGTCTCTACATTGTTCTTTTCCGGTATTTCATCCAACCTCCACTGAAGATAGCTTGTGTGACTTTATTATAGAAATAAAGTTCACAATAAAGATGATTTACATACAGAACTCTTATATTTTCATTCAAGGAAAAAACAAAAACAAAAACAAAAAAAACCACAACATGGTGGTGCCAGTGACAGTCTGTGTTTTGGGGCAGGATAGAAACTAACCTGTTTCAGATATCCGACATTCTGGCAAACTTATTAGGAACACAAACGCTCGGGACTCAATGCACCAACCTGAGCCCGGCTGATAAGGCATTGTAAAGCAGCGTTCTAAAAGGAAAGGCCTTCACTTAAACAGTGCTACAAAGTGTTCAGCTTTCTTTCACATACAAACTTTCGCCAGAAAAGGTGTTTTAAGCCGAGGGTAAAGATTTTGTGCTTCCACCGTTCCCATCTTCAACTTTTTAGAATCATAGCCATTTAAGTACCGGACCTGTCTTCAGATTCTCACTTTGCGACACAGCTTTGGCCGGACTTGGCTTGATCTGGGCGCCAGGATCGGTCCCACCACCGAGCTCGGAGCGGTTTGTTCCTAGTGGATCAGGGCGGGTGTGTTGCCGGAGTCGCCTTCTATTGGCTACACTCCCGCGGACTGTCTGGGCTTTCCGACATCTGATTGGATGGAACAGCCCTGTGTACGCCGACATCATTGGAGGACGCTGGAGCCAGGGGGCGGAGCGGATTCCCCAGGATTCTTGACCGGGCGCGCTAGTCCGCGGAGCCGGGCGCGGGGCGCGAGAGCGGAGCTGCGCGGGCGGCTGCGGAGGGAAGGTCTCCTAGGCAATTGGGGTCTTTGAGGCGAATACGAGGCTGGGGCCGGTTACCGACCGGCCGCTTCTTGCCGAGGCAGTCCAGGCTTTACCCCTGGCGGTGGCCGCTGCGAGACAGCATCTGTCAACGCTCCTCTTTTCCCCTCCTCCTCTGGCCGGGCCGGGCTCCGCCGGCTGCGGCCGAGAGGACGCGGGACCCGGCGCGGTGAGCCCATCAGCTGTCAGGCGAGCGGCGAAGCGGCCGGAGGGCGGCGAGAGACACACAAAGAACGCGGTGGGCGGCGGCGGCGAAAGGGGGCGGCAAATTCGGGACGGCAACTCCTCCTCGCGCCCGCTGGTGCCACCGCCGCCCGGGCTTGGTCCGAGGCCGCGCAGACAATGCGGCCGGGCCCCAGAGTGCGGGGCGCCTGCGCTCCCCAGACCCCAACTTGACCGTCACCCTGCTCGCCCAGCCCCCTCCCGGGATAGGGGCGCCCCCCTCGTTCCGACAGCCGGCGAAGGAAGTCTGCCGCGGCCGCGTAGCCCGGCAACTTGCAAGCCGGGAAAAGTTTGCGGCGCCTCCGCGGGGCGGCGCGACGCGGCCCGCCCCACGCGTCCGCGGTCACCGAGGGTGACTTTCTCGACTCGTCGTCAGCCGGGGCCGCAGCGCGGCCGGCGAGGACTGCGGGGAGGGCCGGAGTCGGTCCGAGGGCTCCCGCACCTGGGGCTGCGGGTGAGTCGGCTTTGGGCGCGGTGGGCTCAAGTGGTTTAGGGCACCTGGGCTTGGGAAGAAGGCGCGGAGAGAGTCTTTAATACTTTCTGGAGCTGGCGGGGAGAACAAATAAAAGTGCGGTAGCTTGAAGGGCACTGACATGCCACTGACTTGGGAACCGTATCCGTGGGAACCCTTCGGGGGCCGGCGCGACCAAAGGCCTGTGCGCGCCTGGGTGGGAGAAGGAAGGGTTAGAAGGTCGCGGACTAGCTCTGCCTGCGACTGGCCCAGCTTGACCTTGGACAAGTGACTTAACCACTTAGATTTTCTCGTGGGTAATATGTGGGGCTACAGCAACGTGGTCTGTGGTGTCGTCCAGTTTTTAGACTACATCTCCGTTTTGAGATTTTCCTGGGGCCTCAACACGGTGCGCGAGTTATGAAGCGGTAGGCCAGGATATGTTTATATGCGCCTGGATTCACCTTTCAGCCTAGTCAGAAGTAACTTTTAAGTCTGATGTTTTAAAACACTAATATTTAAAGGCTTTCCTTCACTGAAAAATAAATTACCCATTGCTTATTTTACGAACCTTAGGATTGTCGTATTTTGTTGCACCATTTGGAATTCTAGGGGCCAGGGTGAGGACAGAGAGCCAAGCCTGAGGGTGAAGTGGCAGGTGCCCCTGGCGATCCCTGCCGGATCCAGTTGAGGGGAGAACAAAGCATTTATTATACATAAGAGAGAGTGAACAGGGCAGGTGTTTGTGTTTTTGTTTTCTGTATTCTACTGAAAACTTTTTTTTGGGGGGGGGGCGGGCAGTGGTGGAGGGGACAAAGAAGAAAAATGTCAAAAAAGAAAAAATGTCATTTATACCCAAAGTAAATCTTAAACTAATGTAAGTCTTCCTTACAGGAACAGCAACACATAATACAAGTACATCTTGATCTAATTTTAATGAAGGATTGAAAATAGCTACTGTGTTCAGTATTACTGACGCCAAGGCAGCTCACTTACATAATCTTCTTTGTTGAGATGTGTTAGTGGCATGTATAATTTTGATAAATAATTAATGTTAAAGGTTTAGTCTGGCAATGGTATCGAAATACTGTCACAAGTTGTATTGCAAGACAATGGTGTGTGAACTTCTGGTTATCATAATAACCTACAGTTTCTCTCTAAACAGTAAAATCAGACATTTTTCATAACGAAAATTCTCTTAAATATTGCATGTGTACTTTGTCAGTAGTGTATACAGGAGAAATTATTTTGTTCTGTAACTGACAAAGTCTTTCAGTTTTCTCACCATTTTATGAGAGTGAATTCCAGATGTCAGGTACTTCACTGGGCATTTTCTCTTCATGGAGCTTATAGCAACAAAAGTTCTTTACAAAAGTAAGTGCATAAATACAGATACTCAACAAATACTTGCTGAATAAAACACTCAGATAAGAATAATTAAAAGTCCATCTTGTCCATCCTTAAAGAGAATGATGATTGTGCTTTAGTGGAGAGAAAGAAGGTGTCAAAGAAAGAACTGGCAGCAAAACAGAGCTTAGTTCCAGTATCTAGCCTAAGCGTTTGTACTTTAAAACAGGTATACACATTTGAAAAAAGACAAAGACAAGTGATAGGGTTTCTAGGAGAAAGACAGCAGTATTGATTTAATGTAATACATTTTATGGCCTAGTTTTGTTTGAAGAACACGAACCTTTGTAAAGGTGTATTTCTTAAATAATCAGTGGCTGTTTGCATTGTGATTGGATGTCTAATTAAATGGCCTAATCGTAACCATAATATCTCACTTGAATGCTGTCTGATGTTTTTAAATTCATTTTTAAAATAGCTTGAAATAAACCAATTTAGTTACATGAAGGACAGTATACCTTTTGGAATCAACTAAATCCACAGTGAGGAAAATTATCATCAGTGTTTCACCAAATGTATATTAAGCACTGGAAGTAGCATCTTGCCTAGAAGGTTTTCACTCTAGACCATCACTTTGTGTAGAAGAGGTCTGATGTGGAATGTAGACTGCAGTGAGAGATGCCGTTATTCCTCCGAGGGTCTATTTGGTTATTTGGTGACATCATGAAAATACTAACACAGCCGCCTCCCGCCCCCTCCTCCGCCACACTTCAACATTTGTAAACCTGGCAACTTCTGGAAAGCCTAGTGGCCTTATTTCAAAGTAACTACTCAACCTAGAACTTAGCATTGATATTTGAACAACCCATATTGTAGAATATGGGTTCTCCTCTGTGCAGATTTGCTGGCTTGGCTATCTTATAAGACATCACAGCAGTGTATCTCATAGTGTAGTCCTCAGATCACCTGTGTCAGAATCACCCGTAGTCCTTACAAAACTTCACACTCCTCGGCACATCCCACATTTACATAATCAGAATGTCTGTAAACAGAACCTAGAATTTCTTTTTGTAAAACCCATTTATGCCTAGCGTTCCATTATTGGAATGCTAAGCTTGTGGAAGTTATTTCTATCCTACTGCTCAAGGTCATTGCCAAGGTCTGATTTTTCACAAAAAAATTTGCAGCCTCTGGCATAAATGGGTTAATGAGCTCCTTCAAAAGTGAGAGTTAATTAGACTAAATTTTAAGAATTAGTGTTAAGAGTTTTCTTGCCACAGTTGTAATGCTCTTGTTGCTTTCTTCTAGGAACATTAAAAAGCTCCCCAGATGCTCCCTGCTCTGATCATTTCCCCTACAGCACCAGACATGTTGGCATCATCTCTTAGTTGGGCCCTGTGACCAGGGAACCCCTCATGAAACCACCGCTGCAGGTAAATCAACATAGAATGTACCACTTACAAGCAGAGTTAAGGCTGCTTTGGGGACACAGGGCTCAAGAGACCACAGTTCACAGACCCCTCCTACTAGTGGGATACTCCTACCATCCTCCCTAACCTGTTGGTGATTTGTAGGAGTGGCAGTCCCAGCCTTCTCTTCAACTAGGGAGATTCGGTTTCAAGCAAATGATTGGGAATAGACCCTAAGGGACAGATGACCTGAGAGAGAACAGACAAGAATGCTGAATGGAGGGCTGTCCCTTCAACATCCTTCAAGCCACACATTTCAAAAATTTTAGTCCTAAAGCAGATAATTTGGCAAGCAAGTGTGGCTAAGGCCAGACACCTCTGTTCTTGGTTGTCAAAACTTTAATCTACAAACTCATATAGTGGCTCTATCTATAAATGCCCAACACATAAATGAGAATTTTCAAGCTTATCAGTTAAAAAAAGGGAGGCAGTGATTGTTTAGAAGAGAGGTTCAAAGCATAGGTTGAGGAGTCAGCCAGTCCTGATTGCAATCCTAGTTTTGCCATTTACTGCTTGGGTGGCTTCAACCTACATCCTTGACTCTCTAAGTTTCAGTTTCCTTACTTGAAAAATGTCTCATACGAGTTGTTCTGTAAATTATGTAAGACTATAAATTAAAACATCAGCTAATAAATCACACTATATATTTAATATATGTAGCTTTTAATTTATTGTAATAACTTTTTCAAATTTCCTTTTTAAGCCTGGAGAGTTGCTGTAGAAGAAGGAAAAAAAGAGGATGACAACGCAACGCAGGAGGAGATAAGTACCTCTGGACAAAATGGAAGTAGTAGTTGTTGAACAGAGGGAAAAGGGATGGGAGAAGGATGTGGACTGCAATGTTGCAGTGCCAGCTAATAACTTTCATCATGTACCTCCTTGGCTCAGGTACTGTCTCTTCTACTCTTTTCCTTGTACTACCTTATTTAGCCCTTAATTATATACTTTCTTGACTCACTTTCAGAAACACTGATTATGTGGTCTGCCTCAAAGACAGAATCCTAGTTTTGGATTTTAGCCTTACTGATCTATAGCCTTGCAGGGGCTTACGGATGGCAGCTGTCTCTCCCCCTTGGGATCTAGCTTTTGGAAATATTGAAGGGAAGAGATTTCTATGATCTTATAGGAAAAGATCCACAGTTCATCTCCAAATTTGCTTTTATAGAGAAGTGTGTGTCACCAAAACATGGAGATATGGTCAGAGAGGCCCCTACCCCCAGACTTTTAATATAATTTTGCTTTCTAGGGCATTTGTTCTTGTCAAATACTTTCTCTTCTATCAGCTCACTTGTTCCTCACAAAAGCCCAATAAGGTATTAATAGTATTAAACAGACCCCTGTGAAGCACCTCAAGTCTTTCTCTCTTCCCACTTCCATTCTTGCACACCTTTTGCTAGACTAGTCTCTGCGTTCATCACATCAGGTTTCTAAAATTAAAGTCCCCTAATAACTTTCTGTTTGTTCCCTCATCAAATTGAACCTTTTATGCCTGGCTTATAAGGTGGCCTTAAAACCCCATTTTCCTCTAAACATTGTCTCTGTAGTTCAGGAACGTGGCAGGCTCAACATGTGTGCATGAGCCATATTGCTTCCCTCATTAGTGATACCTCCTCTCAAACCACCCAGATTCTACTCATTCTTCAATTTCCAGCTTCTCCTTGGAGCCTTCCCAGATCATTAGCTTCTTAAAAATCCCAGCTTTCTCTGAATTCTGACGGTAGCCACAGTTATTTGGGCAATTATGTCCTGGTCTTAAAGTCCTAATGGGAAAAAAAAAAAAAAGTATATGGTGGACTTTATGAAGAGAAGAAAGCACTGGACTGAGTTTTAAGACATCTGCTAAGGAGCCGTGTAAGCCAAACCAGGTTACTTTACCTCTCTGGATCTTTATTTGCTGATCTGTTAAGTGGAGAGGATTGGGTCAGATAATCTTGGTGGTCTATGCTCATTCTGAGGTTCTTGGACAACTTGACCTAGTTCACGTGGGATGGGATTGAAGATCTTACTGAGTTTTTGGATGGAAATGGTCAGTAATGGGCACTCAGTGCCTTCAGGACTTGTTCTGTACTATCCCAGAAATTTCTGATGCTGAACTTGGCAGTTTTTAAATGCCATACTCCTTTTTTCCAAACTCTTCAACCACAAGAATTCAGGGAAGGTTAATGGGGGGTGACTTAGGTATCTGGATAATATGTATTGTGGACAATATAGCATTATCCTTGGGAATGATTTCATAATTGTTGAGTAAATAGCATCAACTTCTTGATAAACCTTAGTCCTGAACATTTCATCTTCATTGGATGGTACTATATAGTAATATATTTATGTTTTCTTTTAATCATTTCATAACTTAGAAAATACTAACAGAGTCAAAACTCCAGGATAAGTGATATATGAGTTTTCTGTAGTAATCTGGTTGGAGACATGTTGTAATTCTGCATATATATGTACACTTATCCCATGCACGTTATGCTTAAACTAAGAAGGATACCCCTGAATTAAGAGGTGCTGTTATACATTGACCAGACTTAAGAATATCTCTTTAAAGTATGTTGACTTTTAATTGACCTTTGAAAGTTCATTCTGTTAATCATACTCAAAGTGCTAAAGCTATGGTTGACTGCTCTGGTGTTTTTATATTCATTCGTGCTTTAGCATATAAATTCTTCAGCATAATTGCTACTTATTTAGCAAGAGTTTCCTTTCTTTGAAAATGTGAGTTGTGCTTGTATTTTCGTGTCTTTCTTTTTTTTTTTTTTTTTAACTTTGCTTCAGGCTGGGTAGTGGTAGAGGTTTGAATTAAAATGTTTTCCTGTCAGTAGTTGTATGAGGTGTGGCTTCTTAATCTAGAAGTAATGGAAATTTCTTGCTTAAATGAAGTGCACTTTTCTTCCTGCAGAAGTTAGAACTCAAGTTACAATGCTGAAATTTAGACAAGCTTAACACTTCAAAACTGGATATCTTTAGCAGAAACTTTTGGAAATTTTAAATTCCATTTGTGTAGATTAAAAATATCAGTGCTAATACTTTCTATTAAATAAGGATTTATCTATTTTCATAAAACCTCTAATTATATTCCTTGAATTGCTGTGAGTAGAATTTTGTTGTAAACACAGTATTTTTTAAAATCTCATATATTTTAAAAATCTTAACATTATATTACTATAACTTAGAGAACAGATGTTTACATGTATAAATTTTTCTAGCTCTTAAATTCGTGAAATCAGTCTTTCAGAAGTAATTTTTAATATGGTTAGCTGTCTTATAGGTTTGTAAGTTGGTATTTCAATTTAAAATTTTTTCAATTTATATTTCAATGACCAGGAAAAAATAAACTTTTTGCTAAATTCTAATAGAAAAAAACACACACACACACGTAATTGTTAATATCTGGTAATTTATCTTGAGACTCCAGACATGTTTTTAGAATATTTTTACCTTAAAAGCAGTTTTAAAATAGGAAAATAAAAGTTTAAAGCAGAGTTTTTACTTTCATGAGGTAATTTTATACTTCGCAGATAGGTAGGCCCATATTCAAGATCACTCTGATCTCTGTTTATAGTAAGTTTTGATGCCATTATATCATTTACTTATTTACACATTATAAACATAGTAGATGGCCCCATTGTCATGAAGCTGACATTTTCTTATCTCTTTTTCAATATTGTCCCCCCCTTTTTTTTTCTGTTTTCATCATAGCTGTCCTTTTCATTTTATTGTAGCCCTGACTCAAAATGAAAGTAAGTTTGTTCCTCTTAAACATTTCACTTGAAACTCTTTTTTTAGAATATACAGTGAAATGTCTTGAATAATATTATCTAAATAATACCTAAAGAATGCAAATGACGTGCAATGCTGAATAGTCAGATACAGGATGTTCCATGCTGAGGGTAGACTCATATTTCCACTTTATAAAATGTGGTTTCAGAAAATAAATAGATGTGTTTCTTCCTTAATAATTAGTGTTTCAGGACCAAAATTGACTAAATATGGAAGTTTAAGATAAAGCCTGGTTTCTTAGGGAATCTTTCTCAGTCCTTAGTAACTCTATAGGATTGATGATACAGTGACAACTTCAGTACGCTCAGTGTTCTTTTCTGTTTGAAGTCTGTTTTACCATTGTAAAAAACTTATTGTCGTTTGAATTTGGGTATGTGCATTCAGAGATGGTTTCCTTTATTTTTATTTTATTTAAACAAATACTTTCATGTCCCAAACACTTTATAAATACTGGAATATTTAATCCTCTTAACTCTGTAATTGTAATTATCTTCATTTTACAATTGAGAAAACTAAGATACAAAGTTTTATTTAATGGTAAGGCCTTAAGTAAGGGGAGCATGATAAGTGTAAGCAGAGTGGAAAACTTAGTAGTGCTAAGAAGCAACAGAAGTATGTGCAAGAGTTTGGGAAGATGCGTCTACTTGGAAAGGATCAGGGACTCAACTGGGATCAGTCTTAAAGAGCAACATGTCCTCCTTCCTCAATTTTAAGCCTTTGGGCTCTAGAAGTAAAGGGCAAACTTAGAAAGAGGAGGCACTCCTCAGGTTTCAGCTGACTGTTCCAGCCTGGTGAGGTAGCTGTACTGGCTCATGTGATTCTCATAGGGCTACATCAACCTATGTCTTACCTCCTCCTAGCATTTCTTGGCTGACTCCTGCTTTTTTGGAGGGTTTAACTTCTCTCTCAGCTAGAAGGTTAGGCATTGCAAATACCAGTGGGTAATTTTTTTCTTAGCTTTAACCCCAGCCCATTTCATCCCCCTCTTTGCCCTTTGTATATTCTTTTGAAAATATGATCCAGTAGTGTTTATGAATGTGTGTTGTATAAAATTTAGAGATTGATGTTAACAGAATTAAAGGACAAAGCTGTCTTTTTTTGTTGGAATTGGGGGATGGAAGAAGATGGGAGAGCAACTAAAAGCAGGAAATATGGAGAAAGGAGAGACATTGTGGAAAAGAAGAGATATATTGAGGGGAAAAAAAGGGTGAAAAAATGAAGAGAGAATTACTGATGTGCTTCACACCCACACCTCCTCTCCAACTTCACAGTAACAGAGGCAATGTCACTGTCTTTTACCTGACAAGTGCTTTACCAGGGAGTTGTGCCTGGCATCGTGGGAGTGGAAAATTTCTCCCTTTTGCATTTTGAGACTTGGGTGTGCTGCTTTAAGATGCCACTGGTATCTAAGTAATGTTTGTTTATACTGGATATTTTTCTCTGTAGCCTTTGTGGATTGGACTTGTAATATAAACAATATTGTTAGCAGAACTGCAGGTACTCTATTGCTATGTTTATTTTATTAGTTAAAAAACTACCAGAGCCCTAGGACTTCTGAGCACATTTAGAAAATACCAGAGGCAATTTTAAGACTAGCATTAGAAAGAAAGAAAAAAATAAGAATAAAACTAAGACTTGCGTACCTTAGAATCCTAACCGATGTGGTGATTTTTAAAAATTAATGTTTCAGAGACTCTAAATTAGGGTCGTTGGTTTCATCAATTACATTTTTTAAGTTAATATAAAGTACTTTTGTATATAAGTTCTCTTTTCTTAACAGATAATTTAGGTAAAATGGAAGTGTGGCATTTTTTTGTTCCATAGAATGTAAAATTAATGTCAGAATAAGAATTCTTTTGGGAATTTAGGATTTTTTGGGTGCTTCTCAAATCATCTATAATGACTTTTCTTTATAGAAAAGGTAGATTATTCGTTGGTTTTTATGAAAAACACTAAGTTTAAATAGCTAGGTGTGGTGGCGCGGCTGTAGTCCCGCTACTCGGGAGGCTGAGGCACGAGAATTGCTTGAACCTGGGAGGCAGAGGTTGCAGTGAGCCGAGATCGCGCCGCTGCACTCCACACTGGTCCAGAGTGAGATTCCGTCTCAAAACAAAACAAAATTATTGAGCTAATCTTAATGGTAAAAATCTAGATTTGAAGAAATTTTTTTTAAAACAGTTGTTCATTTGTCAAATAGAAAAGTATGATCTTAGCAGGTTTGGTTAGATCCTTATCTGAAATAAAGTAAACTAAAGATGTTTTTCTTGATAAATGCTTGGGAATCACCAGTAAATTGGGGGATAGAAAGCAGGAAAAGGAGCTTTTTTTCTTATTTTTTTTCATTTATCAGTTTCTCCCACTTGTCCATCCTTTCCTATAATCATGGAAATTTTTATTTTTTGCACTGTTCTCCCCATTTGTTTATCCTAGATTGCCACCACAGCAAGGTTTTCTAGAGTTAGGCAGAAAGAGAACCTGGGCCTAGAAGCTAATGGAAGCTATCCCATGCTTTCTCAGACTCTCTTTCCTCCCTAGAGATAAGAGGAGCAAAACAGGAGTTGATGGCTCATTGCTGTTGCTTCTGTGGCTGCCCTGTTTGGTTGACCTAAGCTTTTTTAAAAAACCTCCACTCTTGATGCTTAACTCTACGAATAAAATTAGGGCCAGTCACACTGTATTTTCATCATCAGTTATCCCTAGTGATTCAAATTTAGCACAAACCTGCTGTGAGTACATATTAATTAGGTGAATACAGTAGAATGCAATCATAACATGAGTCTTTTAATAACTATTCTTTGTTTGATTTTTATTTTAGAAGTTTGCAGTTATTTTGTTGAAAATCTAGAAGATCTTTATGTGAGCACCTGAGGTTTGGGTAGCCCCACAACAGTTTAAATCAAACGTTAACTTGCAGTAAAACTCTACTGAAAGTGTCTTTGATTTCGAGGTGCAGAGAGCTGTTTCAAGTTAAGTTGCTATATTAGTCTGTTCTCATACTGCTAATAAAGACATACCTGCAACTGGGCAATTTATTAAAAAAAGAGGTTTAATTGACTCACAATTCCACATGGCTGGGGAGGCCTCACAAAAATGGCGAAAAAGCAAGGGATGTCTTACATGGTGGCAGGCAAGAAGTTTGTGCAGAGGAACTCCTGTTTATAAAACCACCAGCTCTCATGAGACTTACTCACTACCACAAGAGCAGTATAGGGGAAACCACCCCAGTAATTCAATTATCTCCACCAAGTCAAGGTGAGATTTGGGTAGGGACATAGCCAAACCATATCAGCTGCCTATTCTCCTGTGCAGTGACATAAAGATCTGATAACCTGATTTAAAGCTTGGACTCTTAAGATTTTTGTTTTTTTCTTTTTTTGCGCCAGAGTATCTCTGTCGCTCAAGCTGGAGTTCAGTGGCATGAACAGGGCTCATTGCAGCCTCAACCTTCCAGGTTCAAGTGATCCTCCCGCCTCAACCTCCAGAGTATCTGGGGCTACAGGCATGTGCCATCGTGACAGGCTAATATTTTTATTTTATTTTTGTAAAGATGGGTTCTCACTTCTGGGCTCAAGCAATCTTTCTTCAGCCTCCTAAAGTGCTGGGATTATAGGCGTGAGCCACTGTACCCTGCTGTAAAGAATTTCATATCCCTGTTTTCGGTATGCTGTGTCACTGTTTGCCATGGGTAAAGGTATATGAATCTCTTTTATTTTGCTGCTTGCAACCCAGTTCCCATGCCAAACCCAATTTGTATCCAAACACACAATATTGAAGACAAGTTCTTCTATAGAAAGCTTCATAAGCCAGTTACTGACTACTGTGTCTGTAAATATACTCAAACTATTTTGTAGTCTTGCTATTTTAAAAAATGTGTGGGTGTGGGAAGTAATGTTGAATGAATTCAGGGTAATTGGTGGTTCTTTGTATTAGGAAAACTCACACTAGTTAAGGGAAGTCTGTTTTCATGATTTATGTATGTTTAACTTAAAAACAAAATTCTGCCATCCTTCCCTCTCTCCAGTTTGCACTCTACCTCATAAATTCAAGCAATGAAGGAATTTAAATAATAGAATTTTATAACTGAAAGGATTATGGAGAGAATCTGTTAACCCTCTTATTACAGTTGAGAAAATAGATGTCCAGTGGGGTCAAATGAGATCACGTAGTTCGTTTAAAAGCCCAAATAACATTTTAGTAGTTTATATCCATTAGTAAACACTGTTCTATTTAATTTGCCCTAACATGTTCATAATCAGAGTCATAATAAGGAAAAATCACTAATATGTGTGTGGTACTTTCTTGTCACCTCTTGTGGCACCTTAGTCACTTCTCAAAAGAGGTCTGTAAGGTGTCGGTATCCTGGTTTCCATTCAGGGAGAGAACAGGCTATGAGCCTAAGAGACCTGTCTGTGCCAGTCACTATCAAAACAGTCTAATGCTACGAGTTTTCCCACCTTGGCAAAAGCGTTGGCTGGTCTCTGGACAGTTCTCATAGACCACAGGATTGGGCGGAGGGGGAACCACATCTTCTTGTTAGGGCTCTAATCTGTACCAATTATTAACTGTTGTCTCTATTTCATCACTTTTTAAAGGGGAAAAAAAGCAGTTTTTAAAGAGCTGTGAGATTTTAAATTGTTCAAAAGAAGTATGCTGGATAATTATAAGGTGTGTTTTAAAGATCTTATCAACATCTTAAAATTAGCCAGTATATACTGAACATCCACTGTATAAAAGGCACATTATGGGGTACTGCAGTAGGTACAGCAGTGATTGAGACAGAATCCTAGCCTTCAGGGAAGAGGTATATGCAGTGTTCTCTCCTTCCAAAGATTACCTAGATAGAGAACTGTTAATAAGAAATATCTTGGTACCGTCTACATTACTCTTGAGATATAAAATATATTACTTCTTATGTCTAAAATGGGTCAGTTGTTTCTAAAACAATTTGTATTAAAGTATTCACATTAAAAATTGGTAAAATACAGAAAAGTAGAGGTGAAAATCATGAATTTTTAACATGATTATGTCAGTTTCTTTCTTGGAGTTTAACTCGATGGGATAACTGCTAATTTTTTTTATCATTGCATAGCTTTGTAAACTTGTTCTAATGATTATATAATTTCAGCATGGGTTAGTTTCTAAGTATGTCAAAAATCTAGCTTTTTTGTGGTGATTATTGTTGTTTTACACAAAATGATTAATAAAAGACTCGAAACTAACCTTGGCTTTAGAAATGCTTTTTAAAATTTAAAATAATGAATGAGTAGCAAGATTACTTTCTAGTGTTTCCTTAAGGTCACCAAAATCACTTAAGTTGCTTAAAATATTGATGGAAATATCAACTACGAACAGTTGACCTAAATTAGAAATGAGTGTTTAATGGTGATATTTATAAAATATGTATATTTTAAAATGCAGTTTCTATTATAGAATTATGTTCCTCTATAATAATTTCTCTTTACACTGAATCTTGTTCAGTTTTTATTGTGCAGATAATTTAATCTTACAGCTTTGATCTTTTTTAAAAAATAAAACAGCTATTTGGAGTATGAATTCAGCCATGTAGTTATTACAATGAAATTCATCTTAAATCTACCTAACATCCCTTTAGAAATAAGACCTATTTCAATAGAAGGGCATTTCTTGGTTAGGGTTGCTCTTCCTGAGAGGAGTCTCCTGGAGCAGGAGCCCCTGGGGAGGAGTGAAATGAGCCAGCAGGTGGTCTAAGGGAGGTGCCAGGGAACTGCTGACAGTGCCTGAAGGAAGGGAGGGAGCAGGATGGGAGTGGGGTGGAAAGTCCCTTATTAGCCTGGGGGCTGGGATACCCTGACTGTCTGGAATCCCCCTCCCTTGCAAGAATGCCAGCCAAAGTAGGAAGGAGGGGCTCCAGCCAGATGGGGGTTCCAGTGCAGGAGGAAGAAAGTAGGGTGACCACAACTAAGAAAGCTATCTGACAAGCTTTGAGATCTCCTATCTGGGGAACCCCAGCATAGATAGTAAATCAGTATTACCTTAGAGGAGAGTTTGGCAAGTGAATATATATGATGAATGAATGAGTGACTGAATGAACTGCTTTATCACCAAAGGATCTGGATATTTGTTTCTACTCTCAAACATTTTTTCATTTGTTAACTTTTTATGCCTAATTTTAAAAGAAAATACAATTTTCATTGAACTGTGATTGACTACTTCATATTTATTGAAACCCACACCTTCCAGTACTCCACACATGATTCAGAAAAGCTTACAATAAAAAAAATCAAAATAGAAAAGTGAGTAACGGATGTGATTTCAATTCTCCAAGCCTGTTGTCCTTATCTGTGATGGTAATGATTATAGATGCCTTATCTTGCTGTGGCAGGAATGAAATGAGATCATGTATAGGCATTATTTATCATACAACAAGTACCTAGTTGAGGTTGTATTAAAATTAAGGCTTTAAACTTGAGTACATACACTTTTGCTGAATTCTCAATTTATTTTTCATTACCATTTTATCAGAGAATGATATTTAAGCGATATTCACTTCTAGAGTAGAAGAGATTTTATTCCTTATAGCTGTAAGCTCTATACTATCCAAGATAATACTTTTTTCCTAGAATTTGAATTATTTAATCTTTCACATTTGCACAATCCATGGTCAATCACTCCCAGTAAATTCTTACAGCATTCGTCCACTTTCATGAGGCAAGGAGTAAGTAGGTCTGTATTTGTATTAATTACAAAGAAATTCAAGGGAAGGCTCATCATTATCATCGGTAGCCGGAAATATAATGAATTAGAAGCCCTTGAATTAGACTAAAAGAGTGTGGATTATGTGTGAAAGATTGAATCAGAGAAGGTAAAGATTAATTTTAAAGGGCAGAATTTTGTACATTTAGGTCACTTCAATTTCAGATCAATTCTATGTATGCTTTCTAGAAAAGATATAAAAGACCACCTAGATTTCTTGTCTTTAAGTGTGTTTTTCCAAAGCAACATGACAGAGGATGAATGCCAAAACTATTAATGCAGCTACCCTGGACACTAAGCCCCCAAAGAGATGGAGGATTGGAGGATGTAGAACGTGGGCACTGGGTCCAGTGCTGAGATGGGACATATTCATTCTTAGAGTTTCACTACAAACACTCCAAGAATAGAGGATGAGAAGGTTATGTGGACAGGAGAAGGGTGGAAGAGGGTTGAATGGTTGAGGGTAGCTAAAAAAAATTTTTACACTTTATCTCAGGCTACTCCTAAACTCTCCACCAGAAAGAATTAATCCTGCAAGCACTTAAAACTGATGTGAGGAAGATAATAAAGCCTGTCCAGGGTGCAGACATCCAGATTTGCAATTTAGGGTGGGAAGACTTTAGAGACCTTGTCTAACAGGGCTAAAGAGTATCCTTATGGTTTTAAAGTAGTTACATTGTTTTTTGTAAGCATTTCTAGCGTTATATAAGACAAGTCAGGGTCTGATGTATTGAACACAGTTGGATCTTATTCTGCCATGTTTGTTTTTAATTCACAATTTTTAAATGGATTTACTGGTCATATTTCTCAGGTCATGGCAAGATTTTTTAGTCTTAAACTTATTTAGCTCAGTCCTTCTAGATCAATGGTTCTCTGCCCTGGAGGTGTAGCAAAATTGTTTGATAGCTTTTGCAAAATTCACATACCCAGCAGCCTCCCCATCAACTGAATAAGAATTGCAATGTGGATGTGGCAGAGGCAATCCAGGTATGCGGGGTTAGAAGAAGCTGTCCTGGTCATTCTGTTGCCACCCTCTCACTTGGAGAATTGCTGATCCGATGAATTCCTTAACATAACTTTGAAAACACAGTCTTTTGCTCAGAACTTCATGAATAAACATCAAAAGTTCACTAAACAAAGTGTAAAGACCATGAGATCTTAGTTATAAGAGTTCATAAATAGAAAAGCACTTTATTGCCTGTATGTATGTGGGCTCCTCTTTTAGCAAGATATGAGCTAGGTGAAATCTATGTGAAAGCTAAAGCAGATTTATTCCAATCGGATGTCAGATAATTTTGCCAGTTTAACT